TTTGTTATATCTTTAAAGATTAACTTAAATTAGATAAAATTTAAAAAACATAAAATTTAATTAGCAACGAAACAGAGTTTTTAAACATTATATGTATTTGGCTTTTAAATAGTCTAATTTTTTTATCTATACTGTTCTGAAACTTGCAATAACTAGAAATAAACAATCAATATCAAGGTTAATTAAGCTTAATCATATTAATTGTATCGAATGATGTTAATCAAGGTTAATAATTTTGCTCAAATCAGAGAAACAAAAATTTTAGATACAACGCGCAGGTTATTGAGAACAATATCCTCAAAAGGACTGATCTGCAATTTAAACTTTTTAAGGAGGATTGGACCGTTTCACTCCTCCTAGGAAAGTTTAGGATTCGGCAACTTAAAAATATCTTTTCTTATTGTGAGTAAGTCATAGAAAATCATTATTCAACTTAAATTGGCATTTAACAACTATGAGTATTATTTTATATAATTATATTAATAATATTTAAACCATAATTTAAAAAATACGTTTACTATAATGTCACGGTCTTTAATAGTAAATAGATTAAATATAATTTATTATAAAATATCTAGTAAATATTTTAATTAAATAGTAAATGGATTAAATAAATTTAGTAAACAGATAACATATAGTCGTAATTAGAAAAGTACAAATAAGTATTTAATTTTACTTTTTTCTCTTAGATGTTGTTAAAATAAACAAGTTATTAGGCGACGTAACCACTTCATGTGCTAAACATCCTTTAAAGATTTGGCTTAGACAGTCCTGTGGCCGCGAAGGAGGTAGAAATGATTCCGAACAAGAAAGTAAGCAACCACGTCAAAAAAAAATTCCAAGATTATATCGGTAATTAGTTTTTATATTTAATTGTAAAAACGATCAAATAATTTACTTTATTTGAATACTTTATTTTGATGCTAATTAAGTCTTTCGGTTATTGGATTAATCTATTTTAAGCATTGGATAAACGTATCATTATAAAATTGAGTAAGTGTTGTTTTTAGTATTGACTAATGAGCATTGGTCAGACCTTGCGCCAATGATCACTTCGGAGTTAGCCCGATTCATTATGCCAACATTGTGCCAGCATAAGTCAATGCATTGAGCTAACATTTTCCCAATTTTTTCTTGCTAGCTGGGTGATTTCGGGATTTTAAAGTATTTACACAGTATTTTTCGAAATTTTCAAAATTGATATTACGCCTCTAATACTCTTTTTACCTCTAATTAAAACATACTTCATTACATATAGCGGTTCAATTATCAATAAATCCTCAATCAGGGGGGTGCCCTGATTGGCGCTCTTATTTATCAAAGTTTTCGCTATATTTTAAATAAAATATTTTTTTTTCACCTTCCTTTCTTTCATCTGGCGCCTCTTCGATATCTGCCGATCGACACACTGTCCCTTTAGCTCCCCCCCCCCCCCCATCCTTCCTCCACGGCGCTACTGTCCACGTTCTGCTTTAGAACCTGATGGTTTATAATTATGCGTGGCGCTAAATTGTTATAAATTGTTATAAATTGTTTTGATATAAGAAACGGTTAGAAACAGAGTAACCCAACCCTTAATTTTTCCAATATGCGGTTTATGGTCCTATTGTTGTGCTATTGAACATATTTTTCTGTTATTGATTTCCAATATAAAAACTATGTGTTGTTTTTGTTTTTAAATTTATTAATCAGGGAATATTAGAAATATTTCTTGATTAACAGAAGCTTGTTTGTTGATTTAACTAACGTTTAATGAACAAATAATACAAGGTTGCTTCAAAGCTGCTTTTTGGTTTGATCATAATTGATCTACCTACTACTTCAACTGTTGATAATAACAGAGATAAAAACAATGGTATATGTTATAAAAAAAGATTGTTATTATTAAAAAAATTAATTTCATGTGTCATAAATCAATGAACTTTTATAAGAAAACATTGAAAATATGTTCAATTCGTCTCAGTTGTAAAAAATGGTCACCTCGCAATTCAATTTAAATTTCGTCATTTATTTAATCTTGTAACTGCTACTACTAATATTTGTGGCTTTCCTGCAAATCATTTAAAACTTGTATTGATTAGAAGTGTTTAGATCTTTAGAACATTTTAGATATAACATAATATTTTAGAAGACTTTAGAACATTCTAGAACAATTTAAAACATTTTGGAATAATTTAGAACAATTTAAAATAATTTTGAACATTTTAAAACAATTTAGAACATTCTGGAATATTCTAGAACATCATAGACTATATAGCAGTTCATCTAATTTTATAGTTATTACAGAAGTAACGCATAGCATCCCTAGCCTAGCGATAGTAGCATTCAGAAGAAGCCTAGCGATAGTAGCATTCAGAAGAACAAAGATTTCTGAACCAATAATCTGGTTAAATTTGAAGACTCTCATAAAAGAAGAAGAATGGTCTCTTTGGAAAAATATTCACGGAAAGAAAAGTGCAGATTGTCTCTCCAAATGTAAATTATCGGACGCTACAATTTGCTTGGACCAAAATCTATGGAAGAAAATAGCGGAAATAAGAGCGAATAGCGGAAATTTTTAAAGAAGTCACCAAATTGTAGAAGAATAAACTAAATTTTCCTCTTGTATCTGATCAAGTTATATGAACAAAGCTTGATAAAATACTTAAATGTTATGATAAATGTGTCAAGCGGGGAAGCTACAAACCCCTTGATGAAATATTTGGTATTACTAAAGTGGATAAAACATAGTTATCTTCGGAGGACAAGCGATTGTATCATTTCCAAGTGAAAGCAAAGGAACAGTGGAATTCTCTACAGGCCGAGCAGCCAGTAAAGAAACGTTCCATCTCTCTAAAAAACAAAGACATTCTAATGAGTTATCCAACTCATCATCTTTTTATCCTCGTTTTAGTGATTTAGATTGAGGCTGACGATAGTGAATATAAAAACAATGAAGAACAAGGTGAGACAACTCCTACAACAAGCAAAAAATATCATAAAAACAAAATTGCAATCTTCCATAAGAGTATCAATAAACAAAGCCGCTAACATATGCAAGCGATTGGCTCGTGAAGGTATTGATATCCCAATTCGATGTCAATTAGCAATTTGCAAGTCAACAATCAAAGAGGTAATCAAGCTGAAGGAAGAAATGATAGAAAAGTTGTATATAGAAAGTTGGTCCTTACACTTTGATGGCAAGCACATCGACAGAATTGATTATCAAGTGGTCATCCTTAAAAATGAAAAAAGAGAAATACAATTGGATATCCTTGGCTTGGTAGATGGCAGGGTTTTAACTATTACACAAGGAATTTCTAAAGTCGTCGATGAATTTCACCTATGGAATTCAATAAAGATGTTTGTTGCAGATACCACCTGCGTTGATATTGCAACAAATGTTCACAGAGAAACGCATCAATAAACCTTAGTTTATCAATTGTCAACACCATATATTAGATAGAACCCTACGTTTAGTGATGGATGAAGAACTTGGAGATAAAACACAATCGCCAAACATCGAATATCCAATTTTATTTCAACTGTTGAAGGAGTACGAACAACTGAAAACACAGTTTGATAAGTAATTCTCGAAACATCAGGCTGGAGAGATGATATAAAATGTTTGTTTTATCTAACTTGAGTGTTCCAATTTTTTCAGCAAAAGGACATTTTCTATTGATCAGGTTTCAGAAAATATCAGAAAATATTCAGAAAACATCAGCAATGTGAGGTGGAACTCCAGAGCTATACTAGAGATCCTAGCCTTCATTTTAATTCCTTGTCGTTGTAATATCAGTTTATATCGTATAGCTGGGCAGACCATTGGTTTACTGACTAACTGTACTATGAAAACGACTTTAATAACTTGGCTGAAACACGGAATCCAAACAGAAAGATATTAAACTCTTAGAAAAATGAGTGAAGGTGAGAGCCATATATACTACAGATACCCAGAAGTAATCAATGCGCAGAGCGCGCAATCAAAGTAATGGAGGAAATTTATTTATCATGCAAAAATAAAGAAAAATTGCACCTTCAATTTTTTCTGTAAAACGAGCAAGAGCAATGTCAACGGTCATTGTTGGATTGAAAATTTATTGTATTAGATGACTATGACACTCTAAATACATTTGAATACATACACACTAAAAAAAATAACATCATTATAACATCATTTGATTCTAAAGTTTAAATTGTTACGTTATATATAACCTTATATTTAGATTTATAATGTTATATTATTAAAGTAACGTTATATTTGTATTTTGATGTTATATTTAACGTTAAGCTTAACATGTTTAAATGATGTTATATTTTCAGGAATAAATTATTTAATTTAATTTTGAAATGAGGCCGTTTTAACTATTTTTACTAAATGAGGCCTCGTTTCAAGATTATATTTTGATAACTTTAAAATGCGCGAATGACATATTTCTAGCAAAAAAAAAAAATTAATTAATATATAGAAATATACAATTGAAATGTAAATAATAATTAACATATGTTATAATTTATTTATAAATATATAGAATATATTATATATATTTATAAATAAATTACAACAATTATTTATGAATAAATTATAACATATTATATATGTATATGATATATATATATATATATATATATATATATATATATATATATATATATATATATATATATATATATATATATATATATATGCTATATAACATATATATAAATAAAATATATATTTATATATATATATTATATATATATATTTTATATATATGTTATTTATTTATATATTATATATATATGTATATTATATATATATAACATATTTTATATATATAAAAAATATGTTATATATATAGTATATATATGCATATATATATAAATAAAATATATATTTTATATATATATATATATATATATATATATATATATATATATATATATATATATATATATATATATATATATGTATATATATATATGTATATATATATATAATTTATATGAGTGTATATATATATATATGTGTGTGTGTGTGTGTGTGTGTATACTAATTATTTTTTATAACTTTATATATAAGTCACAAAGAGTAGATTTAATATGAAAGCTGTAAAAGTTACTTGTAATGGGGAGTCAAAAATTGTTGTTGCCACATCCAATGATCTAAATGCATTTATGGCAAATAGTAAGTATAGTTGATTTATTTTATAAATTGATAAAATATAAATTAATTATACAAAAATATACAGAGTTCCCAAAGTCTTTAAAAAATTTGGAAAGTACTGAAAATTGAATATTTATATGAATATTTTTTTTGCCAACATGATGCTGACCTCTAACAGAATGAGTCAAAATATTGTTGACCTCATTTTTTCTAATTCCAAGGGATGTATGTATGTATATATATATATATATATATATATATATATATATATATATATATATATATATATATATATATATATATATATATATATATATATCTGTGTGTGTATGTATGTATATGTAGTTATATGTATGTTTATGTGTATGTATAATAACAATATTTATAAATTTTTTTTTTTTTTCAGTATGTTCTACTTTTAATGTTCCAAACATATCAAATTTAAAATGGCTTGGTTTTGCAGTAAGCACTTCAACTTTTCCTGCAGTAATATGTGAGCAATCGGTAGAAATGACAGTAGAAGTTTCCAGTTTTATTGATATTTCAAATAGCTATCCATTAAACGGGTTTTTAGCTCATTTAGAAGACTTTAACAATTCAGAAAGAAATCAAATTAATTCTGCTCTCAATACAGATCAACACATCTCCTTCAATCCCTCTCTTAATTATCAATCACAATCATCATTAAAAAATTATTCAGCTTGCTCTACAACATCATTAACAAATATATCTATAGAAACTGAGAGTGGTACAGAGTTAGTTGCAGACTCATCCAGCTGCAATAGACCTCAAATAACCAAAAGAAAGGTAACATTTTATTGTGCTAATTGTCCTTTTATTTCAGATACTTACACTTTAATAAGAAATCATTTAAAATTACATGGTAATTGTGCCGCAGTGTTTTGTATTAATTGTTTTTCCAAGTTTAAAAGTTTATATGGTTATCAAAAGCGCATTGCTAATTGTACTAAAGAAAATAATACTTTTGATAATAACACTGAACCTAATATAATAGTTGATCAAATAGTGTATGATAATGTTGATGATTTAAATAATGATTATCTTGGTATGTTAGCTTTACATTTGCAGTATAAGTACAGATGTTCTCAGACTGTTTTAGATGTTATATTTTCAACTTTAAAAGAGCTATTTACTGACCCAATTTATGATGTAAAGAAACTAAATGATTCCTGTAAAAAATTATCATCACAATATTATCGTGAAAAATATTTTAAAAATGTATTTTCTATGCCTACTATAAAGATTGTTGGTAAAGGATCAGTTGTTCCACTTATGACGATGCTAGAGTTTTTATTACTTATTTACTTAAAGATTTTAAAGAAACGATACAACTATTATATACAGGTGTAAAAATAAGTATTGCTGGAAAGTTAATGACAGTTACAGCTGAGGTTTTATACTTTTCTGGGAATTCTTTAGCAGCAAATTCAATCGGAGGATTTAAAGAAGGATTTAGTCAAAAAACTGTTCGCTGCTGTAGGCGGTGTAGTTCTACACGGGCTGAAATGATTGAGTTTACAACACATGAAGAGTGTCTGATTCGAAATTTGCCTGAACATGTCATACATTTAAATGAATTGAATTCTGGGCTAAGTAAAACTGATAGAACAAAATGGTCAAGAAATTATGGTATTGTTAACTTTAGTATTTTATCAGATATTCCAAATTTCGATGTCACCAAGCAGTTGCTTTTTGATCCAATGCATGATTTATTGGAAGGGGTTGTGCCATTACATCTAGAATTATTTTTACTGTACTGTATACCAGAAAAGTTTCTCTTAGCTGATCTTAACCAATGGCTTCAATCATATAAATATCCTTTTGGTATTGAAAAGCCTGGTATTATTTTACCTTCACTTAAAATCCGAGGACAATTTGGTAGTGGACAAATATTAACTCTCTCTCGTGTGCTGTGTTTTTATTTATTAAGATTTATGGATTTATCTGATCCTCATCTTTCATGCTTAGTTAAACTTATACAAATAGTGCAGCTATGTATGTCTCCGTTAGTAACTGATATTTATATTAAGGGCCTAAGGGTTTGTATTCAAGCACATCATTGCAGTTTCCTTCAATTATATTCAAACAGTTTTATTCCAAAACTACATTTTCTTGTACACTATCCATCACAAGCATCTCAATTTGGCTCATTACGTGGGCATCTCTGTCTTGCATTTGAACGTAAACATCAAGTAATAAAAAATTTCAGACATTTCAATTTTAAAAACATTCCATATTCAGCTTGCAAAGCAATGATTGTAAATACAACTGGATTGTTTTTTAATTCTTTTGGTGAAAGACGATGTGATGTTTATGGAGAGGTTGATCAATTAAAGTTTAAAGATGGTTTGATTTCAAGTGCAGTCATTAATGAAATATTTTATAAGCAAGGTGACATTGTTTCTGACACAAATGAAAATAAATTAGAGTTCTATAAAATTCTTGAAATTTTAACAGAAAATGAAAAACGTATTTTCAAAGCGCAAAAGTTAATTATTAAACGTTATTCTGCATTTGTATTCACAATATATATTCTTTAACAGATTGAGCTGCAGAAGAATAAGCCTTCAACTCAAGTTTTAGCAATTTTAAATCGGAATTTGTTTGAGCCCCAGATATTTAAAAGCATCCCGATTCAACTGCAATTATCTCCATCTCTTCTTATAAGCGAGTTTTGCAGGCTTTATCCCATGTTTGCAGATTTCGAAAGTAATTCTAAAGAGTTTTGCAATTTAGTTTTTTCCGATGGGTCGGTTTTTTTGAATTTAATAAAATTTCAAAGTGATGTCTCCTGTAAAAAGTCTTCTTCCAATGCTTTCCATGTAACTCAGGTAAATAAAAACATTATTTTTTTATAGAATACTCTGCAATATAAATTTTTGATTCAAAAATTGTTTAACAGTCTGATAATCTGGATGAAATGCTGGGAGTATCGATACCTGTTCCACAAGTAGTATTCAATAAAACCCATTTTATGATTTGTAGCAGAAATGGATGTGAGCTGAAGAAAGCACAGATTTCATCAGCCAGCGAAGTGTTTTGTTGCATCATTGCCATTTACTATCTTATGGACTTAGTTTTGCGCAAACACTAGGTGTTTTACAGGAAATTATTTTGAAAGACACTTTTCTTTACAAATCACATAAAGCAACCAACTATTTAAAAAAATATGGTTTATTAAAGTGCTAATATATATATATATATATATATATATATATATATATACATGTATATGTGTATGTATAATATGTATATGTGTTTTTATATAATTACATGTTATATATATATTATATTTATACATGTATATGTGTATATATATGTATATGTGTATACATATGTTATATATATATATTTATTTATATATATATATATATATTTATTTGTATATATATATATATATATATATATATATATATATATATATATATTTATTTATTTATAGGTATATAGATTATACATATGTTTATATATACATATTTATTTATAGGTATATAGATTATATATATTTATATATATATTATATTATATATACAACTATATATTATATATACAACTATAGTTGTACTGATGTCAAAATCGATTTTTTAATGGCGAGGTGAACTTTTTTGAAAAGATATGCAAATAATAGTTCATTTTGTGCTTTTTAGGTAATTGTTCATCAACTGCTATACAGTAGCATGGGGTTGATAAAAAAGTCATAATATATTTTATATAATATTATAATATGTTTTTAAAATATTATAATATTATTTTATATAGTATATAATATATTTATTTTAAATATTTTATATTTCGTTATTCATTTTTTTTTTGTACAATTACTTTTCTTGTTGGATCATTTTTCTCTTTTTTTCACTGAGAGTTATTTGTTCAGCCATATAAGCTATGATTCATAAAGTTTAATTAAAATCTTTGTTACCATTAAATATAATTAAAATGGTAAAAACGCAAATATCATATATTGCATAATGAATTTAAATATAGTTTTTACAAAACAAAATAAAAATCTAAAACAAAAAAAGATTTCAAAAATTTTTAAAATCCTTACTTGACATTTTTTTAAGCAACAAAAACCAAAGATTTTAAAGTTGTAATGTTAAACCAATTTTTTTATAAACTTAAGAACATTAAAACTATCCAATAATAGTTTTAGTTAAATTTTACTTTTAGTAAAAATCAAAAGTCAATCTAGTAGGTTTTTGTAACATTTGCTTAAATATTAATCAAAAATAGTAGAGAATTTATTTCTTGCGGTTTTAATATTTATAGTAACAAATACAATATTAAGTTTTTTAAAATCAGATTTGCTTTTTTAATATGCATTTTAATAATTTAAGTTAACTTTTTTATTAATAAAGTTACATTTTTGACCCCCGTTTATGTATTAATCTCCTGTTTTATTTACACGTAAAAACGTTTTATTTGATTACCTTTAATCAATGTATCTGATCAAATTGCATTGAAAAATTTTTAGTTTATTATTTTTTGAAACCGGCATATAACTAAACACCAACCTCGTGCAACGTATAAACAAAAAAATGTAAACAAGACGCGTGCGCATACTGGCGGGCAAAACAATTTTAAAAAAGCATTTTAACTATTGTCAACATTTACTTTTACTAGATAAACACAGAATTTAAAATACTAAAATCATGTTTATCATTAAATAAAAAACGAATATTGCACAGGTTGTTAAATTAATTCCGGAAAATTTTAACGAAAGTGTTTGTCAGAAAGACGTTCTAGAGTTTCTGAAAATCTGGTATTTTGATATTCGCTGGCAGGGCCGCCTATAGGAGGGGGAAGCAATAGTAGTAGTTTGCCCCGAACATCACAGTCTATAAAGCATCACATATGTCTTTAAAAAAACTATTGTAACGATAAAAAATTCAGCTGGTAACATATTTAAAGATTAACCAGTTTTTGTGTATTATTTTCGTACTTTTTTTAAATTTTGTTTACATTTATAATAGGTTAATTATTACCTTACAAGGTTTTCATTTTCAATTTGAACGCACGCGTTTTCAACGGCCTTTTGTTTGCATAATAAAGAAAAGAACGCTGAATAAAAATTTTTTTTAACAGTTTGTGTGTATGTATTTGTATTTATTAGAACAGATAATATACATGTTCTAAAGGACACGCAGGTCCAATATTGATGGACACTAACAGCGTGCGCACCCAAAAACAAAATAAATAAATAAATTATGTAACAGCGTACAACATTAAATAAATAATTTATCAACGCCGACAAAACTTATCAAAATTGATTTAGTTAATTTTCCTCTTAAAGATGTTGATATTATCGGCATTAACAACATCGAAAGGCAACTGATTCCAAATGTTGACAACTCGGTAAGAGAAACTAAATTTGCGAATATCTAGTCGACAATGTTTGTGCAATTTATTCTTATGTCCCCGAATGTTGTTTTTGTTGTCAAAAAGAAAGAACATAGATTTATCAATTAAGACCAAGTTATGCAGAATTTTGTAGCAAATCGATAAATCATGCTTTACTCGCCTTAACTCAATCGACTCCAAATCAAGCAACTGAAGTCGGTTATCGTAGGTTAAATTGCCTAAGTGCAGGATTTTTTTTGTGAAACGTTTTTGCACGTTCTCAACAACCTTTATTAGTTCAACATGATATGGTGACCAAACTGGGGAGCAATATTCTAATATAGGCCTAATATATGTATTGAAGGCTTTTACTAAGATTCTAGAATTGCGAGACTTAAAGCATTTTAAAATAAGATATGCTCTAGTATTAGCTGCATGTACAATGTTTGAGATATGCTTTTTATAGTTTAGTTGAGAGTCCAGAGTTACACCGAGATCTTTCGGAATAGAAGACCAAGCTAAAATATGATCTCCTAACTTATAGTTAAAGTTAACAAATTTTCTCGATGAAGCAGGTGCAATCCTATGAACAAAACACTTAATGGTAGAAATAGGTAGTTGCCATGTTTCTGACCAAAGTACTACATTATTAAGAGCAATAGCTAAATAATGGCTATGGTCCGTATTGCAAAATGAACTGTATAACTTGATGTCATCGGCATAAAGTTTTAAAGAGCAATCAAGATAGTTGACTATAGCGGTTATATCATTGATATATAGTAAAAATAATGTTGGGCCTAACACGCTGCCCTGAGGAACTCCACTAACGATGCAAGTTGGGTTTGATAATGAAGTTCCAACCTTAACTTGTTGACTCCTATTGTTAAGAAATACAGCAATCCAATTTTTTAAATTACCTCTTATGTTAAATAAAGCTAGTTTGGCTGTCAATTTAGGGTGTGATACATATTATTAAATACTTAACTCTCCATAACTTAATAGCCAATAATCAACATGGTTTCCTCAAGAAACGCTCTACATACACTAATCTTTTAGAATCTGTTAATGATTGGAGTACTGCACTAGACAATAATCTAAGAACAGATGTTGTATATATCGACTTTCAAAAGGCATTTGATTGTAAAAGTCGGTTGTAAAAGTCAAACTCAGGCTCTGGCACTAAGGTTCCCGGGGGAGACATAAATGGGGTCTTATGGTAGCAAAAAACTCAGCAAATATACGTTAAACCATTAATCACATAGTTCTGTGTTAAAAAGATATAGGAAATTTCTAATAATGTCCATACAAAATTCCATATCTTTGACCAGTCAAATATGTTAACCAAATAAAATTTCCATATCTTTGTCCATTAATTTATTCGACACGATTAAAAAAATAATTTATATGGACGGTTATAAAAATATAGTATTTTTAAAATGCCGCGTCGCACTACTTTATTTGCTGCCATGCTAAAACGGATTTATGGTTATATAACCAAATACAATTTGTAAAGAACATATCCATTATCACAAAACTAAAAATTAAAAAATTAAATTTTAGTTTTATAATATAATGTTAAATATATTTTATTTTATTATAATATATATATATATTTTCTAATTTTATATAAAAAAAAATTATATATATTAAAATAATAAAATCTCCTGCCCCATTCAATATTTCTGAACCTCTCTGGTTGGAAAGCATTGGCACTCTTATAAGCACTCTTATAAGCCAGTGCTTCCAAACCAGAGAGTATAGGTGCAGAGAAAATAGAACCTGAGAGGATATAACCAGAAGCAGTAAATGTTTATTATTATAGTTATTATAATAATTATTACGTTCTGAATGTCTTAGTAAAACGATCATCATAAGGAGGTGGGTTCAAAAAATAATTTTACACCAGCACATCTTTAATCTCTCCAGGATCCTGGGCTTATATAAAATATATACGCATGACTCGATAAAAAGACGAAATTTAATGTTTTTTTGTATTAAATTAATTTTTTTTTTGTCACTTATTCAAGATAATTTACTCTTACACTAATAATTAATAATGAAAGACTACTTTACGCTATTTTTGTATATTTGATAACATTTTATATTTTAATCGTATGGATAATCATATTTATTGTATTGTGTTTGCAAATCTGATGCATATTTACAATAATTAGTTATTATTAATTTGTATTTTTGTGTGTTTCTTGATTTATAGAGAGGCCCAGGACTTTCAGACATGGCAGGTGTCTTTCGAAGAAATCTCCCCAACCTCCCTCGCCGGCCAAACGTCTCGTTATTTATCTTATTTTTGCCTAAACTTAGCATATATATGGATACTTTTACAGGACCGACGACATCGCTTCCAAAGTGGAGGGCGGGGGAAGTTGTCAATATCTAAAAAAAGTCCTCTATATATAAAAATTTCTTCTGGAAAAAAAAAAGGGAAAGATTAGAAACACACCTGCCCCCCCGGTGTTGTCGGCTCTATTATGTACGCTTGATGTGTTCAAAAAAAGCCAATTTTTAAAAAATCTTATCACAAAAAAAACAAAAATAGTGACAAAATTTTTGTTGTGTTGTGTTTTGCTTTGTGCTGAAGCAGCAAAATACTCAAAAAGTGCCCCAAATTGTTTTTAAATTATTTGGCTTTGAGCGCAAGGTAAACCTCAATATTTTGTGAATATTTTTTTTTTCTAATGTGAACGTAGTAGCCCAAATTTTTTAAATTGTTGTATCTCCTGGTTTTTTTCATAGTTGTTGTTTAAATTTAAAAAAGATTTTGCAAAGTTTACGCAAAAAAAAAAAAAAAACAACAAAAAAAACACATTTTGCGTATTTGCGC